GTTGCTAAAAAAGAACATTATTTTGTGTATTTGGTGTAGTGAAATGAGTTTATGCGGTTTAAGGTAAAAAAAACAAACATACATTTTCCACATACTGTACATTATTGTTTCTCCTCTATGCCCCGCCTTTCTGAAACGTGTCGAATTTTACAAAGCTCATCGTTCTGAAAAGCGAGGTGTACGCTGATTGGCCAGCTATCCAGTGTATTGTGATTGGCTGAATGCCTCAAGCGTGTGACGGAAATGTTACGCCCCTACCATACGGTGATGCCCTGTCCGGCCGAAGCGACGAGACAAAACCAATACAACCGAGGCATTTGTAGCATCCCGTGGGGACATAATCACTGATTATAATGACTTATACTGTCTTAATACACGTTGCATTGCATCGTGCCGCATAAACATAAAACCATGTCTGCATTTGTGATCGGAGAAACAACAAACAACAAGCTCTACTCTACACTGCTCAAAACTCGCGTTTGAATCATCAGTGGCAAATTCTTTAAATATGAAAACGTACTTACAGACTGTGAGTCAGCAATATTTGTCAGAACACCGGCACTGTAGGCTACTCTCCCAGGAAACAGTCCTCGTCCTCCATAAAATGTGCTGCACACATCTGAATATTTGGGTTGAAGTGTTCTGGAACAGTGTTGTAAATACAACTTAACCACTGATTTCTAGTTGTGTCCTCTTTTGGAAGACCAAACAAAGTAGTTTCGGTTTCACACGGAAACACACAGCGTCTCCCCGACATGACGGCGGCGGCAACATTATTACAGCGAGAATAAAAGTTACGCCTTCTTTCTTTGCGTGAACATTTGGGTGGCGTTATGTAAATCTTCCCACACAGTGACATAGACATGTGGGGGCGTTTTTAAACGAGGCATTTTAAGAGGGTCTGGACGAGTCTTAACTTTTATAATAATAATAATTTATGCATTTAGCAGACGCTTTTATCCAAAGCGACTTGCAGTGCATTCAGGCTATACACATTTTTTTTTTACCAGTATCTCTTTGGGTTTGAGACTTTAGTCTTTACAACTTTAGGGATCTTATCTATTCATGAACAGCTTGTAACACTCCAAAGAGTTTAAAATAATATACACATGCATCGATCAAATGTATCCTTTTAATATGACAGTTACCCATTTTTCATTTTTTTCTGCTTGGGTGAGTCTTGATCTGATCCTTTCTTGTCTGATCCATGGGATGCCCTCTTTTCTTTTATATTCTTATCTTCTGAAACAACAAATGAGTCACCCCAAATTACAACAAAAGGGATACACTGGGCATTGATTGTATTGATACATACATGAAGATAAGCTCTGAACAATAAGACTTACTTCGAGATTGCTTTTCATCTGAGCTCTCCAGACTGGCTGAGTCCAGTTTCTCCTGCAGATCATTCTCAAAGCGTGCAAGATCAGCATCTAATCTCCGAATGTGTTTATCCACCTGGAAATGCAAGGAGACTTGTTTATGCTTGATGCATCAAATGGTACATGTAAATATAAAACTGAGGACTCTGCATCTCACCATTTCATATATCTGCATTGCAAGCTGAACTTTGTCATCGCTGTACTCTTTGCATTTGTTGTAGGCATTTTCAATCTTCTTTAAATGCTGGACACGCTCCTCGGATGCCAGATTTCTAACTTTTGCAATATACTCAGAAGCTAGTTCACTTATCTCTGCTTTTTTCTCTGTGAGCAACAGTAAGAATATAATTGTTCATTAGTCAAAATTTAAAAAAAGTTAACTGTAATGGCCTCTGATACAAAGTGGTCCAAACATTCATACCTTCAGTTCTATTATCTAAATCCTCCATTAATGAGAAGTTTCTCTGCAACTCGCAGGGAAGTCCCTCGATGCCTGGAACCAATGATTATAATTAAAAATCGTGCAAACTGTATTTACATGGCAGGAAAATAAACAGCATGCATACGCTACAGGAAGTTAACTTTACATACTGAGCAAGGGTATTATAAGATACAAAACATTACTTAGGCACCACTCAGTCATGTACAGTTCAGCATTTTATCGTAACATAACACATAAGACTGACAAACTTGTAATTCTGAAACACAACAACTCCTCAACTCTCAAGTGGGGTACTCAAGAGGAACTAATTTCATTTCATACAACTTGACAGCATTTAAAATGTGGCAACGAGTTTTTGAAGAACGCCGTTAAAAAACGTACTGTCTAAATAATGTTCTAAGTACATTCCGTTCGCCATTCTGGTTTGTGTTGGCTTTGTACTGCAGGCGTGTACGATGGTTTATTTAGCGCGCGCTGAATTTCCCTTTCTGCAGTCGTTAGGTAGGTTATTCGATTTTTATATGAAAAAAAAGATCAACTGTACTACTATTAAGTAAACACATAAGACTGCCCATGTGGTTTATATATCAGGTATTGTAGCGTAACATCTTTATCTGTAGTGCATCAAGTCACAACTTGCTCTACATCGCCATCTACTGCAGTGGAGTAGCAGCCCGCTGCTTCGCTCTCTGTGAAAAAGCAAGACAATGCAGGGAATGTCGGTTGGTATTATACATTTTTATATATGTCGTATACTCGGTCGTAGGTTTATTTAATATTAACTGCAACCCCATTAATACAGGTAACGTGTGGAGGACAGAGGAGCCTCTTAAATAAGAAGTTACAGGTCTGTGAGAGCCAGAAATCTTGCTTGTTTGTAGGTGACCAAATACTTATTTTACCGAGGAATTTACCAATTAATTCTTTAAAAATCCTACAATGTGATTTTCTGGATTTTTTTTCTCATTTTGTCTCTCATAGTTGAGGTATACCTATGATGAAAATTACAGGCCTCTCTCATCTTTTTAAGTGGGAGAACTTGCACAATTGGTGGCTGACTAAATACTTTTTTGCCCCACTGTATATATCTATATATATCTATATATAAATTGCTCAAGGAATCTGTGCATTTGTGGATCAGGTGACACGTGTGCATTTATTGACATCTTGTTCGAGTCAATCTTGTTTGGTTCATTTGGATTTTGAGATTTAATTTTCGCAGTTTGCAGCATTTCACGACGCTCACACACACAACTACCAATGAACAAGGTCCAGTGCAATTCATTAACGTGTACACGATTTGAAAAATTCACAAACGTGTGTCACTACACTGAAACAAATGGTTTCTGCAGAGTTAAGAATTACATTAATGTGCAGCATTTTGTTCAAATAGAGACAATTTTTATTCCGGCCAGCAGGGGGTGCTCATTCCCTGACTTGTATGGGTCCAAAAGTCTTACTATAACAATACAGACTTCAGACTGTAAAAAGAAGCAACCTTTTGATGAAGAGTAAAACCGGCCCCTGTAAAAAGGAGCATTATTCAGATGAGACATTAAACTGGCCTCCTGAAATTCTGTTGTCATTAATTCCCCACCTTAATCATGAATTTGACCTCATTGTTTAAGGTGGTAGCACATCCTGATGGCTGTATTGAGCTTATCAGGATGCGCTACCCCTCTGTAAGAGAAGCTTTTTAAGGGGCAGAGTACAAATGCAGTTGTTGTATGCAGTAGGCTGAGTTTGGTTCCTCAATAAAGCTAAGCAGGCCAGAGCCTGGTCGGTACACTGGTGGGAGACCCTTTGTGAAAAACTAGCTAGCTGCTGCAACTAGTTTTAGTCCAGCCAGCAGGGGGTAACCATTCCCTGGCTTCAATGGGTGCAAAAGTCCTAATATAATGACCTAGACTTTAGACTGTGAAAAGGAGCATCCTTCAGATGAGGAATTAAACTGGCCTCATGACATTCTGTTTTCATGAATTCCCCATCTCAATTAGGAATTTGACTTTGGTTTCTTTTTGAAGGCGGTAGCACATTCTGATGGCTGGTAGGTGAAAAACTAGCTTACTCCTGGAGCTAGTTTTAGTCCGGCCAGCAGGTTGTGCTCATTCCTTGGCCTGGATAAAGCAAACTATTGTTGTTTTCATATATGTCTGGGGTAAGTAACATTTTTGTGAGTAATTCTTTTCAGTACTCTTACAAGTAATTTTGAATGCTTATGATTTTTTTTTTCTGATGTTGTTCATGATTTGATTCTACAGGAATAGAATTACAGGACAGTGTTGAGCAGAAAACAAGAGTTTAAACTGCTTATGAAGGTGGAACTGTAATAATTAATTGTACATATCAAACTTCATACTCTCCGACTCTCTTTTGGTACCAGCGAAAAGTAAACAAAGACCCTAAATATATGCTCAACAGAGTTGGTAAGACTGGAGATGAAGATAAAGAGTTCAAAGACAGATTTAATGCACATATCAACACATCTTCCAAATCAGTCCCTTTGACAATCAAGAATCTGCGTGTGTCTGACTCTGCTGTGTACTACTGTGCTCTGAAGCCCACATTGACTGACTTGTGACTCACACAAAAACCTTCATCATTCCGTCAGTTCTGACTGTTGTAGCTTTTTCTAAATGTAAATGAATGGATTATTATATCTTAACTGGTTGTTCAATCATCCATTTATTTGTTGTTGTTTTTTGATAGTTATTTCTCTGTTTCTCTGATCTGGAAATGTCTGTAACTTTTCAAATGTGATCAGAATGTAAATATTCCTCAGTGATATTTAATCTCCCACAGAACTGAATGTGTTAGCTTAACCATCAAAAACCACTGTGACTTCAAAGAATAAAAACTCACTGATCTGCTACTAAGGAAACTTTAAGACAGATATAACTGCCATTATGCAGTAGCTATAGGGAGCCAGTAGAGGGAGATCAGTTTGATCTGCTGATTATGTGGTGCTGAAATCTCACTCTGTCAGGGACTCTGACCAGGATTCACAGTAAATGGCATTCAGTGGTAAGCAGATATCTATGTGTGATGATTGATAGGACAGAATGATCAGGCTCCCCAAAACGTACATTTACAACTTAATTTGCATATGCTGCTCAGTCAGTCAGTCAGTCAGTATCAGCTTTGTCATGCGCTCTTCAACTCCCCAAAACGTACATTTACAACTTAATTTGCATATGCTGCTCAGTCAGTCAGTCAGTATCAGCTTTGTCATGCGCTCTTCACAACCTATTGTGACATGAAAAATTTTCTCAGGTAAACAGAGGTGTGCGTTAAACTGTTTTCTCTTTATTAGTCACACATGAAAATAGATTTTAAATTTCTAAGAAAAATAAGAAATTACCTTGAATTTTATAGATTTTTATTTAAAATCTAAATTCTGTGGTTAAAATTCAAACTCATGAAATGGAGCCAGTCTTTAAATTCAGAGTTTTGACCAAGGCTGTAACATGTTTTATTATTTAAAAACAACATTATGGTATGGGTTAGACATCATATTGGGGTGAAAAAATAATAATAACCTGTTTGGAAAATTAACATTTAATTTAATACAACTAATATTCAGAACAAATGTGTATTTTTTTTTTATATATCAAAAAGTGTTCAGATTCATCAAATGCAATGGAAAATTAGAGAAAATATGAGATGTATCTAACAGCAGGGAATTCCCCCCCCCCCAGGACTTACAGGGTAAGTTACATTAATGAGTGTAATTTTCTCTTTTACCCAGGTGTGAATAAAATGGCTCAGAGAGAAGGGACTCAGTGTTCACAGATCTGACATGATAATGTGTCTAACAGAGACTCTGCTTGAGATGATTCAGTCTGACTCTTCTCAGAGTAAACACATACAATGGATCTTCATTCAGTTATTCTGTTCTGTGCCTCAGCAGGTGTGTATTTCTGTTCAGTGATTGATTGTTTTATTTGACTGATTAGATTAAATGTCTCTAAAATGTTTCCCATTTCTCTTCTGTTTCAGCTGTTGTCTTTGGAAATACTATCAGTCCAGATAGAACAGATGTTAGTGCTGATGAGGGCCAAAAAGCTACATTGTCCTGCAGTTATTCCTGCTCTGGGAGTACAGATGATCTCTTCTGGTACCGTCAATATGGAAGACCAAAACCAGAATTTCTTGTAGCCACATACAGTAGCTACTGCAAAAGAGACTGGGGTATCTGCTGCAGATCCAAGATTCTCTGTTAAAGTTGAAAAAAGGGAGAAAAAGCATGTGGATCTGGAGATCTCCTCTGCTGCTGTATCAGACTCTGCTCTGTACTACTGTGCTCTGCAGCCCACAGTGACAGGAAACACATCAGTCCTCTACAAAAACCTGTTACAATGAGAGACAAGAAAGAAACACAGAGACAGAGATGAAGACAGAGAGAAAGAAGCTGTAAGTGTTTTATACTGTGTGTACTATATACAGTATTATGTATGTCAGAAAAATAATAGAACCAATGAAAATAAATCACAGGTAGCTACCAAAATCTAAAGGTAGACAAATCATTTAACTAGTATATGAAAAAACAAAATACAAACAAAATGTAACATTTTAAAGTCAACGAATCTTCGGCAATATAAAAAAGTAGTATGTTAAAATCCTACAGGTCTGTCTTACAATCATATTTGACAAATCAATTTAGAACATGGTGTAATAAAAAATTAAATAAGCAGTCAATGTAACAAATGTTAAAATATCTCACAGGATTCTCATGTGTAATATATAGTGTATCTTTTGCTTGTTCCAAATTATAGTTATATATAAACATAGCTAGACTATAATTAGAAAGTCATTATTCTTCTCATTTCCATCGGTTAATATTTCCATGTTCATGAGAAATGAGAGGAAACTACAGTGAAAAACGCAAGAACATCAAGAATTTAAGCCATGCCTTTATAAAGCAGGAAGTTCCTGTGTGTGTTTCTGACTGATCTGCAGTGACTTACAGCTGAAAGCACTGAGAGCCTCAACAGAGAACTGAACTGAACTGATTGAACATGGACCGTTCAATCAGCTTTATACTGATTCTTATTGTGGGAACAGGTACATTATTTACTGAGCAACTGATGAAACTGAACATTTTTAAAACATAAAACCCCAAATGCTAAATTATTTAATTGACTGATTGTTTTTTTCCCATAAAAAAGTAAATTGTATTTGCAAAATTGTTTATTTTTTTTATTATGTGCTTATTATTATTTTGGTGGTATGTGCTTATTGTTGACAGGTTTGGTGGCTGGAGACAACATTGCGCCAGATAAAGGGACAGAAAAAACTTGTAAAGAAACAGAAACTGTCAAGCTGAGCTGCTCATATAGTTCAAATAGTGAATATGTTTGGCTTTACTGGTACAGACAGTATCCCAACAGAGAACCACAATTCTTATTATACAAAAATGCACGGTCAGCGAGTGGTGAACACACATCTGATCGTCAGTTTCAGTCGACTACATCACGCACATCCACTGAACTCACTATTACTGATGTACGTCTGTCAGATTTAGCTCTCTATTATTGTGCTCTAAGAGTAGCAGCCCAGTGATACAAAACATGAGACATGTCATACAAAAACCTGAAGCTCTTTTCACTTTGAACCAGTCAAGTGAAAACCACAATCAAAACCACAATCTATCCAGCCCCAAATGTAATAAAATATGTGGTCACACCTGTGTAAGTCAGAATTATATATTTGTTGCAAGTCATAAATTGTAAATTAGAAACTTAAGAAAAGTAGCATTAACATGTCCAGATGTCATGTTCCACATGTAAACCACTTTTATATGGTCACGTAATCTCCATTCTCTGGCAGAAACAGAATCACTTTTTTATTAATCTTTTGAATGTAAAACCACTTTAAATTCTTTAAAAATGAATAAACTAACTTTCATTATATGGATTTTCATTACATTCCTGATATTCTGATTCAAATTCCAATTCAGCTTCCAGTGAGTTGTGACCAATTTAATTAAGATTCATGAATGGGAGCCAGTTTTTAAATTCTGAATTGTGCCCAAAGCTGCTTGATTTAATTTTATTTAACACAGTGTCATGATCTGACTCATGTTCCCCTGTCTTGTGTTTGGACTTGTGTTGTGTTACTTCCTGTCTAGAGTGCCTTTTGTAGTCATTTTGTAGTTCTTTTGTTTCATTGGTCCTCTTGATTACTTTCCCAGGTGTGTCTTGTTACCTTGTCATCTTGTTAGTGTCTCTGTGTATAATAGTTCTGTGTTTTAGTCAGTCTGAGTCAGTCGTTGTCTTTGCGAAGTTGTGGCATGTTGTTTCTGTTTCCTGGTTCTGTGTTTGGTTCTATGTTTCTGGATTTGGATTACCTTTTGTTTTATTAAATGTTCCACCAATTGCATTTGGATCCTACCTTGACTCTTTCTTGCATTGACATGTTACAGAACGACTGACCAATATGGATCCAGCAGCAGTGAAGATAATGTGTCTTCGTCAAGGTGATCGGTCAATTGAGGAGTATGTCATGGACTTCATTGAGCTCGCTCATCAAACCAGAATGTCTGAGGTATCCCTTATGATCTTTTTTTCGAGGGGGACTGTCTGAGTCACTTGGCTTAATCATGCCATTGCATGACCCAAGCTGGACCCTGGAATTTTATATTGACTTGGCATTGCAGCTGAGTGGCTCTGCTTTTACTGTGGGAGTTGCGGAGGAGCAGTGCAGCGTTCCTGCAGTAACCTCCACTCCAGAGCCTTGTCATAAGTTGGCCGCCAGCCCAGAGTCTCCGCTGATCTCCCTGAGTCAGGTCAAGTCTCCGCTGATCTCCCTGAGTCAGGTCAAGTCTCCGCTGATCTCCCTGAGTCAGGTCAAGTCTCCGCTGATCTCCCTGAGTCAGGTCAAGTCTCCGCTGATCTCCCTGAGTCAAGTCAAGTTACAGCTGATCGTCCAGAGCCTCGTTGCATCACAGCTGTCATCCCAGAGTCATGTCAGGTCACAGCTGTCCTGTCTGTTGCACCCATATCTTCAAGGTCCGCTCTTCAGTATCTCAGACTGGCATCGAGTGTGGAGGATCCACCGCTGGTGTCAGCACGCGCAGCTGAGATTCCCAAACCAACTCACTCTAGCCCTCCTCTTCCAGAACTGATTCCCCTGTCTGCAGCGCTTCCCATAATGGGAGTTGCTTTATGGTGTGTTTGGGCTGCACATACCACCACAGAACCTCCCGAGGTGGCAGCATCCACTATGGTGTCTCCAGAGGTGGCGCCCAGTAATGCACTTTCTGCCTGTCCTGTCACGGCTATGGAGGCCGTCTGTGAACCCTCTTCCTGTCCTGTCACGGCTATGGAGGCCGTATGTGAACTCTCTGCCTGTCCTGTCACGGCTATGGAGGCCATTAATAAACATTCAGTCCTGTCTATCACAGCCGAGGAGATTACCAATGAATTCACGGTGCCTTCTGCCTCGGTCTTTGGGGCCATAAGTAAACTGTCTGTTTCCTATGTTTCAGTTCCTCTGAGGTCTCCGTCTCAGCCCTGGTTTCCTCATCTGTCTGCTCTGCCATGGTGGTCTTCTGCTCTGTCTGCTCCGCCAGGGTGGTCTTCTCTGCTCTGGTGGTCTTCTGCTCCGCTGTGGGGATCTTCGGACCCGTCTGCTCTGTTGTTGTGGCCGTCCTCTCTACCCTGGTGGTCCTCAGTTCTGCTGGCTCTGCCCTGGCTCTCTGCCCCACCGGCTCCGCCCTAGTGCTCTTCAGCTCTGCTCTGGTGGTCTTCAGCTCCCCATGCTCCGCACTGGCTCCCTGTTCTGCCGGCTCTGCCTCAGTCCCCAGGTTCTCTTCCTGCACATGGACCTGGCCCTCCATCCCTCCCACTGTTCCACCTCCTCTTCACCACCCTCCTGGACTTAACAGTGTTTATTTTGTAGCATCTGGAATCTGCTCCTGAAGGGGGGGGGGGCTCTGTCATGATCTGACTCATGTTCCCCTGTCTTGTGTTTGGACTTGTGTTGTTACTTCCTGTCTAGAGTGCCTTTTGTAGTTCTTTTGTTTCATTGGTCCTCTTGATTACTTTCCCAGGTGTGTCTTGTTACCTTGTCATCTTGTTAGTGTCTCTGTGTATAATAGTTCTGTGTTTTAGTCCGTCGTTGTCTTTGCGAAGTTGTGGCATGTTGTTTCTGTTTCCTGGTTCTCTCCGTGTTTGGTTCTATGTTTCTGGATTTGGATTACCTTTTGTTTTATTAAATGTTCCACTGATTGCATTTGGATCCTACCTTGACTCTTTCTTGCATTTACATGTTACACACAGAAAGTTAACTAAATACCTAATATTGGGAATGTAAAATTAAATAACCAAAGTGCAAATGTACATTTCTTGAACTTTTCAAACAGTATTTATTTTATTAAATGCAGTGGAAACTGAAAGGCAATTTAAAAAAAAAACATTTCCAGGGTGAACAGATTTACTAAACAAAACACATTAATAGCACCGAGAAAACAAGAGAAGACATTAATAAGCCCTTTCGTTTGGTACACAGGTGTGAAATGTAGCTATGACATGGCTCAGAGAGCAGGGACTCAGTGTTAACAGATCTGACATGATCTAATGTGTCTGACAGAGACTTAGAAACCATTCAGTCTGACTCTTCTTAGAGTGAACACTTGTACAATGGATCTTCATTCAATTATTCTGCTCTATGCCTCAATATATACATTCATTTTTATTTATCTGTTTAAAAAAAAAGAAAAGAAAAATCACTAAAGCACTAAATGTACATTTTCTCTTTCAGCTGCTGTCTTTGGAAATGTCATCACACCAAAAGAAATGGTTATGTGCTGAGGAGAATTCAGATGTTATGTTGTCTTGTAAATGCCTCTGCAAATTATCTCTACTGGTATCGTTAGTATGGAAGATCAAAACCTGAATTTTTTTACTCATATGGGACAAAAGAGACACGGAAGTCTAATGTAGATTTAAGACTCAATCAAAATCTCCAACAGTGAACGATGCTCCTGTTTAGAATGTGAATGTTGCATACATACATAAGAACATGTATGTTATACACACACACACACACAAATATACATAGTATACGTCACCATATGGATGAAAGTGAAAATCAGCAGGAAGTTCCTGTGTGTTTCTGACTGATCTGCAGTGACTTACAGCTGAGAGCACTGAGAGACTCAATAGAGAACTGAACTGATCTGATTGAACATGGACATATGCTTTATACTGATTCTCTCTTTATACTGAAAAACTAATACAAATTACTCTACCTAATTTGACCAAATCTTTTCATTTAATGATGTTACACCCTCTCAAATGCAGAAACATATCATTACAATAGTCCCATTATTATAAGGTCAAATTCTTAAATAAGGACGGCAGATTCAATTTGGTTTATTTGTTCTGTAATCATAAAGTTGTAACATTAGTTCATGTGACTGGATCTGATGTCAAGTTCAGGTATAATGTGGCTCAGAGAGGAGGGACTCAGTGTTCATATGATCTTAGTGTCTGACAGAGACTGCGGTTGAAAGGATTCAGAGGATTCTTCTCAGAGTGAACACAATCAATGGATCTTCGTTCAGTTATTCTGTTCTGTGCCTCAGCAGGTGTGTATTTATTTGGTTAATTATTATTACATAAATGTATATTTTTATTGTTAAAAATAAGTACTATTAAAAACATCTCACAAAAATGTTCCTCTTCTTTTTCAGTGGCTGTCTTTGGGAATTTCATTAAACCAAACAAAACAGATGTTTTTGCTGAGGAAGGTTCAGGTGTTACATTATCCTGTAGTTTTTCTGCATCTGGAGGTTCAGATAATCTCCACTGGTACCGTCAGTATGGAAGATCAAAACCAGTATTTCTTGTACTTATCTACAGCAATGCAAAAGAAGCTCAGCAGTCTGATGTAGATCCAAGATTCTCTGTTAAAGTTGAAAAAAGGGAGAAAAACCATGTGGATCTGGAGATCTCCTCTGCTGCTGTATCAGACTCTGCTCTGTACTACTGTGCTCTGCAGCCCACAGTGACAGGAAACATATCAGCTCTCTACAAAAACCTGTTACAAGGAGAGACAAGAGAGAAACACAATATTAATCTAATGCAATGAATGTGTATGAGATTGCAGAATTTCAGTTATGCCATACTTGCAGTGAACCAGAAGAGGGCAGTATAGGTGTTCAATATTTTATTTGACAGTACAGCAGCTTTTATAGGTCTCCACAAGCTCCTCCTTGGATCGGCATTATAATACCAGAAGCAAGACTCTTATATTTACAGATTTTTCTTCAACATAGACAGTCATGTCACACAGGTTGAGGAATATATTTCTCTTCACTATATTCATTCTTGGTATGAATTCTCATTTAATACAGCTGTATATTCATGCAAGTTGATTATATGTTGCATTGTATTGTTCATCAAATATTCTTAAACCTTTACAGAGTGCAGATCAGAGGACACAGTTGATCAGCCAGACAAACATGTGACTGAAGCTGAAGGAAGATCAGTAACATTACAGTGTAAATATAAAACAGATTCAGCACAAGAAGATTTATTCTGGTACATCCAGAGAGCAAAAGACTTTCCTAAATACATCCTGAGGAGAAGCAAATATGGAGGAGAAAATGGCACTGAGTATCAGGAGAGATTTAACTCTAAACTTTCATCAAATTCAGTTCCACTGACAATACAGAATCTGTGTGTGTCTGACTCTGCTGTGTACTACTGTGCTTTGAGGCCCACAGTGAGAAAACTCAAGTCAAACCACATACAAAAACACAGAGACAACCATTTATGCTACTGTTTCTTTATGATAAACATATTTGTAGTTTAAAAACTATATTAAAATCAAAATGAATTTAGCAGTCAATCATGAACTACAATGAACTACAATATTGATCATGCAATCATTATTATGTTGATTGCATGATTTAATGAAATTGAATGATTTCAGTATAATTTTGTAATAGTGTTTTCTTGATTTAAGGCTGTGTGAAGTAGAACTGTCTTCCAACATGAAAAACTGGATAACATATTATTTATGCTTAGGCAGATAAACTGTTTCAAATGATGGTACACTGTTGTGCGTCAAGCCCAAAATAACATTCAAGATGCGACTGTAATGGAAGAAATGCAGGAAAAGATTACAATAATCACATTCTCATAAGGTCATATTCCTAAATAAGGATGACAGATCAAATTTGGTTAATTCATTTACTTATTTATTTGTAATCATACACTTTTAACATTAGTTCATGTGACTGGATCTGATGTCAAGTTCAGGTATAATGTGGCTCAGAGAGGAGGGACTCAGTGTTCATATGATCTTAGCGTCTGACAGAGACTGCGGTTGAAAGGATTCAGAGGATTCTTCTCAGAGTGAACACTTGTACAATGGATCTTCATTCAGTTATTCTGTTCTGTGCCTCAGCTGGTATGTTATTTGGTTATTAAATATATTTGTTGTTGTTGAAAATTAGTTATATTAAAAACATCTCTCATAAAAATTTACAACTTCTTTTTCAGCTGCTGTCTTTGGGAATGTCATTAAACCAAACAAAACAGATGTTTTTGCTGAGGAGGATTCAAGTGTTACATTATCCTGTAGTTTTTCTGTATCTGGAGGTACAGATTATCTCCACTGGCATCGTCAGTATGGAAGATCAAAACCTGAATTTCTTGTTCTCACCTACAGCAATGCCAGAGATGCTGAGGTGTCTAAGATAGATCCAAGATTCTCTGTTAACATTCCAAAAAGAGAACACGTTGATCTGGAGATCTCCTCTGCATCGATATCAGACTCTGCTCTGTACTACTGCGCTCTGGTGCCCACAGTGACAGGAAACACATCAGCTCTCTACAAAAACCTGTTACAATGAGAGACAGGAGAGAAACACAAAGATAGTGAAAGGTAGCCAGAATACAAATACGTAATTAATCTAATGCAAAAATAATCAAAGCAGAAAACAAAAATTCGAATGTAAATTTGTTTGGCAGCATGAAAGATGAATTACATCAAGTCCCTATAGAGCCCTTATTAGTCACTTTAGAATATCCTGTCATTCAGAAAACAAATATTTTCAATTGCAATAAAATGTATGAGAAGGAAATGTTTCGGTTATGTAGTACTTGCAGTGAACCAGAAGAGAGCAGTAGGTGCTCAATATTACATTTGATAATACAGCAGCTTTTATAGGTCTCCACAAGCTCCTCCTTTGATTATCATTAAAATACCAAAAGCAAAACTCACATATTCACTGATTTATCTAGACTCCAACATAGATACAGTCATGTCACACAAGTTGAGGAATATATTTCTCTTCACACTATTCATTCTTGGTTTGAATTTGCATTTAATACAGCTCCATATTTGTGTAAGTTGTTTATATTTTGTATTGTATTTTAAATATTTTTATATCTTTATAGAGTGCAGATCAGAGTAGGCTACACAGTTGATCAGCCAGACAAACATGTGATTGAAGTTGAAGGACGAGCAGTAGAACTAAAGTGTAAATCTAAAGCATTTTCAGCACAAGATGATTCATTCTGGTACATCCAGCGAGATAATGAAATTCTTAAATACATCCTGAGGAGAAGCAAATAGGGAGGAGAAGATGATGCTCAGTTTCAGGAGAGATTTCACTCTGAAGTATCATCAGATTCAGTTCCACTGACAATCCAGAATCTGTGTGTGTCTGACTCTGCTGTGTACTACTGTGCTCTGAGAACACTCAAGTCAAACCACATACAAAAAACACATGAGCTGAATCTCAGTCAAGAAATTATAACATGCTTCTCCTGTTTAGAATATGAAATGTTGCCTTTGCTTCGTAATACTTATTTTATACACATTCTATCATATAAAAAAAGTATAATTATCTTACAGCTCAATAAAAATAAATATATTATACAGTATAGGACAAGAAATAAATGAATGTGAACAGCATCCGGAAGTTTAGAGAGGAAGAAGTTCCTGTGTGTGTTTCTGACTGATCTGCAGTGACTTACAGCTCAGAGCACTGAGAGCCTCAACAGAGAACTGAACTGATCTGATTGAACATGGACAGATGCTTTATACTGATTCTCATTGTGGGAACAGGTACATTATTTATTGAACAATTAATGAAACTGTAAATAATTATTTTAGTGTGTTTTAAATATTCTTTTTTTTTGTAAAAGTGCTGTGAAATGTGTTTGCAATAGGATTTTGTCAACATTGCTTTCACAGATCAAAAATGTGCTTATTGTTGACAGGTTTGGTGGCTGGAGATAGCATTGAGCCAGATAAAGGGATAGAAAAAAACCTCTAGAGAAACAGAAACTGTCAAGTGGAGCTGCTCATATAGTACAAATAGTGAATATGTTTGGCTTTTCTGGTACAGACAGTATCCCAACAGAGAGCACAATATTTATTACTCAGAGGTGCCCGATCAAATTCTGGTGAACACACCTCTGATGATCGGTTTCAGTCGACTACATCACGCACATCCACTGAACTCACTATTACTGATGTACGTCTGTCAGATTCAGCTCACTATTATTGTGCTCTAAGAGTAGTAGCCCAGTGATACAAAACATGAGGCATGTTGTACAAAAACCTGAAGCTCTTTTCACTTTGAAAATATCTAGTGAAAACCACAATTAAAACCACAATCTATCCAGCCCTGAATGTAATAAAATATGTGGTTACAGCTGTGCAAGACAGAATTAAGCCTTTGTTTAAGTCATAAATGTAAATGACAAACTTAAGAAAAGAAGCATTAACAGTATGTCCAGATATAATGTATGTAATTGTTTACTTAACAATTATTTTTTTTTAGATATTTAAAAACTGTAATAACATAATGAAGGTAATGGTCAATAATACACTAAAATGAACGATAACAGTGATCATGCAATCATTATTACATTAATATAATTTAGTAATAGTGTTTTCTTGATTTAAAGCTGTGTGAAGTAGAATTGTCCTCCAACATGAAAACTTATTATTTATGCTTAACAATGATAGGCAGATAAATTCAAATGATGGTATGCTGTTGTAAGTAAAGCCCAAAATAACATTCAAAACGTAACTATAATGGAAGAAAAACTAATACAAATTACTCTACCTAATTTGACAAAATCTTTTCATTTAATGATGTTACACCCTCTCAAATGCAGAAACATATCATTACAATAGTCCCATTATTATAAGGTCAAATTCTTAAATAAGGACGGCAGATTCAATTTGGTTTATTTGTTCTGTAATCATAAAGTTGTAACATTAGTTCATGTGACTGGATCTGATGTCAAGTTCAGGTATAATGTGGCTCAGAGAGGAGGGACTCAGTGTTCATATGATCTTAGTGTCTGACAGAGACTGCGGTTGAAAGGATTCAGAGGATTCTTCTCAGAGTGAACACAATCAATGGATCTTCGTTCAGTTATTCTGCTCTGTGCCTCAGCAGGTGTGTATTTATTTGGTTAATTATTATTACATAAGAGTATATTTTTATTGTTAAAAATAAGTACTATTAAAAACATCTCACAAAAATGTTCCTCTTCTTTTTCAGTTGCTGTCTTTGGGAATTTCATTAAACCAAACAAAACAGATGTTTTTGCTGAGGAAGGTTCAGGTGTTACATTCTCCTGTAGTTTTTCTGCATCTGGAGGTTCAGATAATCTCCACTGGTACCGTCAGTATGGAAGATCAAAACCAGTATTTCTTGTACTTATCTACAGCAATGCAAAAGAAGCTCAGCAGTCTGATGTAGATCCAAGATTCTCTGTTAAAGTTGAAAAAAGGGAGAAAAACCTTGTGGATCTGGAGATCTCCTCTGCTGCTGTATCAGACTCTGCTCTGTACTACTGTGCTCTGCAGCCCACAGTGACAGGAAACATATCAGCTCTCTACAAAAACCTGTTACAATGAGAGACAAGAGAGAAACACAATATTAATCTAATGCAAAAATTATACTTTATTTGCATGAATGTGTATGAGATTGCGGAATTTCAGTTATGCCATACTTGCAGTGAACCAGAAGAGGGCAGTATATGTGTTCAATGTTTTATTTGACAGTACAGCAGCTTTTATAGGTCTCCACAAGCTCCTCCTTGGATCGGCATTATAATACCAGAAGCAAGACTCTTATATTTACAGATTTTTCTTCAACAGACAGTCATGTCACACAGGTTGAGGAATATATTTCTCTTCACTATATTCATTCTTGGTATGAATTCTCATTTAATACAGCTGTATATTCATGGAAGTTGATTATATGTTGCATTGTATTGTTCATCAAATATTCTTAAACCTTTACAGAGTGCAGATCAGAGGACACAGTTGATCAGCCAGACAAACATGTGACTGAAGCTGAAGGAAGATCAGTAACATTACAGTGTAAATATAAAACAGATTCAACACAAGAAAATTTATTCTGGTACATCCAGAGAGCAAAAGACTTTCCTAAATACATCCTGAGGAGAAGCAAATATGGAGGAGAAAATGGCACTGAGTATCAGGAGAGATTTCACTCTAAACTTTCATCAAATTCAGTTCCACTGACAATCCAGAATCTGTGTGTGTCTGACTCTGCTGTGTACTACTGTGCTCTGAGGCCCACAGAGAGAAAACTCAAGTCAAACCACATACAAAAACACATAGGCATAAGCATGCACATGACTGTTTCTTTACAGTACACATTTCTGAAATGTACAAGCTATAATAAAATCATGCTAAATTTAATAGTCAAATAATAATCATGAAATCAATTTAATATTATCCGTCAATTCTCCAAACTGCTTATCCTCTGTAGGATCACAGCAATGTAATATTATATTGATATTAATTTTATTTAATTGTATGAATTCAACTTAATTTTAATTAAAAGTTTTTTTAAAGGGCTGTGCACAGTATAATTGTCTTGCAAACATGTGAACAACTGGATTATGATTCATGATGTAAACAAGTATTCAAAAATGTATCTCATTTTGTTTTAAAGAATTACCACATTAGAATTTATCTATAATGTAACACTGATGGAGAGATAAATGTGTTTCACATGATGCTACGCTGTTGTGAGTCAGGCCCAAAATGACATTCAAAATGTTTTTGAATCTGATGGAGAAAAACTCTAAAACAGTAAACCACTCACAGCAGAATCCCCAGAGTTCAATCAACTCTGCTCAGAGTATATATTGTCCCAATCTACAGAGTGTTAAAGTAACACTGAGGCAGAGTTAAAGGTAATGGGACAATTAAGCGATTAATTAAGTATTGATTGAGCATTAGTAAAGAAAACCCACTGTTAACAATGTTGAAGATGAACAACTACTGCTCAGGCTTTTAGACATGAAAACATATCACATAATCCTCAACAGTGGTAACTCTGCTTCAGTGTTACTTTAACACTCTGTAGATTGGGACAATATGCACTCTGAGCAGAGTTGATTTAACTCGGGGGATTTTGCTGTGTTCCCTCATTACTGTCAAATTTCATTTTAATTAAAGCTGCTAAACAATTTTAAATTTTTACAATAATTATTACAATAACTTTTTTCAATCATATTCCTAAATAAGGTTCACAGATTAATAATACAGTTGTAACAATTGTTCATGTGATTAGATCTTTCTTCTCTCCTGCACTTCTCAATTGAGTTATAAATAATATAAGGGAGGAGGGACTCAGTGTTCATATCGTGTCTGACAGAGACTGTGGCTGAATCGATTCAGTCTGACTCTTCTCAGAGTGAACTATTGTACAATGGATCTTCATTCAGTTATTCTGCTCTGTGTCTCAGCTGGTATGTGTATTTATTTGCATTTATTTTATTTATTTATTGTTAACAATTTTACTCAAACGTTTCACTAAAAAGTTACCAAGGAACATTTTTTTCATTT